GTAGTTCCGTAGTTCCGTACTCTGTGTCTCTGTGTCTGTTCTTTATTGTACTATTTGCACTGTTGAAGTAGTACGCTCCACACACACACATACAAAACCTTTGACGTTCGGGCTGCAGTAGTGCAGTGTAGTGTGTACTATACTCTGAATGTGTAGTGTGTACTTTTTACCTATTGTATTATATATACCTATTGTTCACTAATGCGATACAAAAGTACGGGACACAGCCACACAGGTTTTAGAATTTTAGATTTAAGTAGTYTTGATTGCTAATACTTTTGACGTTAACAAAATGTTAATGTATGTGTGTGTATAATACGGCATCCTATCACCGTTAGGTTTTGTGGTCATTTTTTGGTATGAAAACAAAAATGAAGCAGAATTACATGTTAGAGTTATTTTAACATGACGAACAAATAACAACGATTAAATAGCTTTAAGAAGAAAAAAATAGAAAGTGCTTTCATCAATAATTATCAAAATACGCCGTATGTACAGGAACACTGATTGTTTCTGATTAGAAAAAAAAAACAAATAAGGTATGTAATGTAGTTCTCAAATGTTTTTTAATGATAGCGATAAATTAAATTTACTACAGTCATTGTAAAATATTATTTTGCACATTGACTACTCATTGTGGCATGAGACTCTCATCTCTTGTTTCCATATTTTTCACCTAATCACATTTTCCAAAAAAAGTCTTTTATAAATAGACGTCCAGTGTTGAGTTTTTTTGCTCTCCATTTTGCATCCTTCTAAGTCATGGCGAAAGGCAAAAATAAGAAACGTAACCGGCAAAGTTCTAATGCTCCTGTTCCACTTAATGCTGGCGATTCGTCAGATTCTGGAGAATTAAAAAGTCAACCAACAAATAGTGAGTCTACGCCCTGTAACAAACTCCACTGGTCGTCTTCACTTGTAACTTGCTAATATTTAAATATTAATACCTATATTTTTCCAGTTCTTAAACATCCTTGCACTCATGTCAAAAAAGCAGTCAACGTAAACAATGTAAACAAATGTTTACAAAAGGTTGTTTCACAGTGTTCTGAATGTAAAAACAATAACTTAGAAGTATGTAAATTGTTCTACAGTAATCTTTAACATATTTTTATTTTTAAATTCATGTACCACTTGAACCTTTAAAAAAATTAAATTTTTTACAAGTGCTTCATGTAATTATTTGTAAGCACCATAATTTTATATAATGTTCTTTGCATTTTAGGAGCTGTACATTTGTGTACAGTGTGGATCATTTCATTGTTCTAATCTAGACATCAATCATATCCTTAAACATCAGAATACTCCAAGAAGTGATTCTCATTCCATTGCTGTTAACATTGGAAATTTGATAATTATGTAAGTTGATCTTTTTTTCAGAGTATTTTTAATTTATATATTTTACCTCAAATATTAATAGAAATGTTTGAAATAACCTATTATATAATATAAAAATTTGTATGATAAGGATATTAGAAAATAGTAAAAATAAAATCTAAGTAATTAWGTAGTGAGAAAGTTAGAAAAAAAGCTGGGCTATTAACTAARGCACAATTTATTTGGCATCATAGTACATTTATGAAGTGGATAATTTTAACTATGTAAACATAGATGCGGAACAAAATTAGAATAGGTTTCAGTTAAAAAATCTAGTTAAAAATTCAGATATGTTTAAAATGTCTGGAMAAAAAGAATTTACATCAAACATATTACCTAGTAAATTGTAATTAAAGTATCACATATTCTAACCAATTTTATACACGTTCCAGTTTAAATTAGTGTATTACAGTGGCGAGTTTAAGGGGGTGGCTATGGGAGTATTAGCCCCCTCTCTTGGGGTTAAGCTTTTTTTTTCTATGATACCTTTATCTATAATTTTTATGAAATGTCTTCATTGAAGAATATGGTTTTTTAATATTTATGGATATTTAAATGCTCTGATTGGCTGACACAGAATGTGGGATTACCGCTTGGTCTCTCTAATATAATATAACTTGATTGCTGCCCAGWGCCCACTGCGATCCGTGTATGTAGTATGTACCAGTCCATCATGGCAGACCACATGTTCAGTGAGCTATTTTTGGATTGTTTTTTCGTTCGACACAGACTACGCATACTATAGAAATATCATCTTCTTCTCTTAGAACCTAATATTAACGATATTGGCTGTTATATAAATTCATCAATTTCAATCAACAAATACTATATATTGCTAAGTTAAAAAAAAACTACTTGCATGAAAAAGGCAAAGAAAGAAAACAATATTTAAATCAATCTTGCTTCACAAAATATCATTGGTTAGCATATTCATCAATCATATCTGAGTTATTTTGTAACTTTTGTGTACTTTTCCTTGTTAATAATAAAGGAGGGTTGAGAAATAGTGAACCTTTAAAAAARTTGGTCACTGTACCATTAAATACATTTGCTAAATTATTATAATGTAATGTAAATTTAAAAATAAAAATATAATTAAAAGTTCATTTTTGTTATTACTTTAATATAATTACTTATATAAATCGTTCCAGATAAAAATTGATTGCAATATAACTATTTAAAGTACGGTGTTGTTGTGATAAATAATAAATACATAAAAAAAAAAAAAGATTTACATATTAGTAAAAATATATTTTAATGTTAATTAGAATTTTATATAGATTTAGAATACAACTACGTAAATTCTTGAACCTCACTTAGCCCCCCCCCCTCCTTGGTGAGTGATAAAACCCGCCATGGTGTATTACAAATTATAAATGGCATACCACAACACTTAACTTAAGAATGTTTAGAATTTTGATTTACGTTTGATGAAACTAAGAACTTTGAGCATGTTACCTTGAAGTCAATGAGCCATCAAAATTAAAAGAAAAACAAATAATAAATTCCAAGGTCAAGAATTTAAGATGCATGAGCAAGCAGAGAGCGAATAAAAAAAATAATGAATAAGTTTTATAAGATAGAATATAAGATTTCAGAAAATGTGATTTAATGATACTTGTTCATGTTTGAAGTAAGTGTCAAAAAATTCACTCAGTTTGAAGAATCATTTGTCGACTCAAGAAATGTTGATATCTTAGATCAGCGTTTCTTAAACTTTTTTATCCGTGGAACCCTTTTTGATGTCAATTTTTATCGTGTAACCCCTACTTTTTTTTACCTTTTTACCTTATTTTTAGGATTATTTGCAAATGAATTATAATATTAAGTAGAAGTATAGATTATTAAATATAGAGTTAGCTGATAGATTATTCCATATGACTTATACTTTATTATTTAATATATAATTAATTTTCTTGAACATAAAAAAATAATTCAAGCATCGTGGAACCCTGAAATAATCTATGCGAAACCCCAGGGTTCCGTGGAACATAGTTTAAGAAACACTGTCTTAAATAAAAAGGTAAAATTTCAGAATGAGAAATTCTATTGTCTAATATTAACTAAAGTTAATTATCCGTTATAAAATATTTGCTATTCAATTTTGGTATTTTAATTTTAATCCAGACCAAGATAACCAGTTAATAAATTAAAATTCTAATCAATAATTAATAATTTAATATTACATTTTATAAATTTAAATGGCGAAAGAACAACATTTTTCAATTGTTGAAAAACTGTTTTACTACATTATTATGTATTTATTAACTCCTATGTACATTGACACAATTTTTTTAATGTGTGCTTTTTAACTCCTTAATATTCCAAGTTAGAAGTTAGAGCAAAACAATAATACAAAAAGTACAATTATAATTTAAATAGATAATAAGTCATTTTTAAATAAATATTTTTTTTTATATAGATGCAACGATTGTAAAAAAGAAATATCGGAAACTAGCTCAAAAAAATTACAAGTCATAATAAATTCTATYAATCATATGAAACAAGTGCAAAAAGGTAAAAATAAAATGAATGATCTTCCAATTCAAGGTTGTTCTACTGAGGCAGATGCCCAATGTGATAAACTGATTTCTGGTAAGTAGTTATTATTAACTAGCATTTTTGGTGTGTTTACTTAACTATTATCATTTTTTTTACAGAAAATTCTCCAAAAAAATGTAATGGAGTAAATAAATCTGATGATGATGCTCCATCATTCAAAAAAACATTTGAACTTTCTGAGAGTATTAGTAACAATGTTGAACGATGTAAAAGACCTAGAGTAAGTTATATAMACTTWACATTTTCAATGCCTCTAAAGCACATTTAAGGTTCATTAAACTTAATTTTTTTTTTWWAAAACAGCATCGGTTTCTATTGGGTATTATTTAAAAGTATTTATATCAATAAAATCCTGAAACTTCCAAGAACCATTTGTTTTTTTTTTTTTTGGTATTACACATTGGTATTAAATTTATTATAATTTAATTTTTTTTAGACATTATTCAGTCAAATAATATGTTATGCCTCAAAAATATTGTTCTCTGTAATTTTTGTAATGGGTAATTTTACTCAAAAACTAAAATTGGAAATATTGTGAAAAGTCTTAACCTAATTATTRTTTTTCATTCTAGGGATTAACCAATTTAGGAAATACATGCTTTTACAATTCAGTTTTGCAATGTCTTGCACAAACTCCATTTTTAAGAAAGTTTTTGCTTGACATAAGTGAGTCTGGTGAACCAATGACCATAAAATTAGATAATGAAGATATTGTAAGTATTATTTTACGAGCCAGTTATCCATTATCATTTATATTATTTAAATTTGTCTTATTCTAACTTATTAAATCATAATTTATGGAAATATTTATTCATTTGTAATTATTGTGTTTTAAAGCTATTAGAGGCTAGATTTATCTAAAAAGGTAGTATAGAATTAAAAAATATTTTATGATAATAGATGTAAAATAGATATTTACATATAACTTAATACCACAAAATTATTGTAAAACTATATGTATGGATATAAATTGTAGCTGTTGCAAAACTAAAAACTTTTGACTACAAGCTTATAAATTATWATTTACTCTTAAAAATTAACAAATTGSTTGAAAGTATCTTTTGATAAATCTAGGWACTAATTTTACAATTTTTATAAGTATTTCTTCATTAGTTCTATTATTATTTTTAAAAAATGGCATAGCCATAATTTTAATATCTTATGAAATCGGTAGTTCACAAAGAACAGAATGATTAATAAGTGTAGCAGAAATAAGGAGGTGTAAAGTATCTAGTCCTGAAGAAATAGAAAATCTGTTTATTAGAAGTAGTGTAGGAGTGGCACCAATTTTAGGCAAAATATAGGAGATTATGTTGAGATAGTTTGGTTATGTTATGAGGAGAGATAACTCGGAGATAGTGATAGAGGCTATGGAAATGTAATTAATGTAGATGATATGGATAGACAGAGTTAATAATTATATGAAAACAGTCGGTGAGAGTAAAAAGGTTACTAAGACKTATGAAGGTATAGGACAAGAAGAAAATTGAAAATCAAAATGTCCCGATTTCTTATTTTTGACCCCTTTAATTTTTAAATAGACGGTGCATCAGGAAAAATGGAGTTCATTAACTGAAAACCTGTACACTACTCTACAAGAAATAACAAATGAACGTGAATCAACATTTACACCTAGTGCACTTCTAGATTCGTTAAGAAAAAAATGCAAAATGTTTATTGGGTACAGTCAACATGATTCTCATGAACTTTTGCGTCATCTTTTAGACTCAGTGCGTGATGATGACTTGAAGGTAAGCTTAAACCAATAATATAATAAATGCACTAAGTCAAAGCAAACCCTAATAGTGTCTAAAATAAATAAAATTTTGCTTCAATCAGAATCTAAAATTATTGATATTTAGAATACAAATAGTTTTCTGAAATTTCAAAATATTACTTATATTTTGGTAACAATTTATTTCATCTTATTTTTATCAAGTCAATGTTTCAATGTCTTGATATCAGTTTTTAATTCTCATCGTGCTCATATATGTTTGATCCCACATTGGCTAAGCTTAATTACAATTTACTACACATTTATAAAATTTTAATTATTGCACAACTTTTATCATATTTTTTATGCCTTTTGTTTTGTTCCATTTTGTAAAAAATAATGGGCAATGACATGTCTGGTTCTACATTATAAATTATAAAATATAAGATTATAAGATTTAAACTTCATATCACAATGTAATAAATTTCAAACAAACTATGAAAAAATTCTAGATAAATGGTTATTTATTTAAACTATGATATGTTATCTCTATATCTTATGAATAAAACCAATAAATTTAAATCTTTTTTATAACAAAAATTCATCTATAAACTCATAATTGTATTCTGTTTATGTCAATGAATTTAAMATTTATTTAAATTAATAATAACTTACATTTAGCGTTATAAAAAGACAATTGTGCATCATTATGGTTTATCAATGAAAGTTGAACCAAGTGAAGTGGATGAAAATAAAACTGCAAAAATTAAAGAACTTGGCAAAAAATTACAAGATGTTCTTTTACGTCCTGATCATGTATTCAAAGGAGAACTTTTAAGTGTAGTTCAATGTCAAACCTGTGGTTATAAATCAGAAGTAACAGAAAGTTTCTTGGACTTAAGTTTACCAATCACAGTTGATAAGGCAAGCATTTTTTATTTATCCTTGATAACAATTTTACTGTAAATAATAATATTAATTTTTCATTGAATAGACTCAYCCATTATCGTTCCCTCGTAAAAAAGATAATGATGTTTTCAGTCAATCTAAGCATCAAACAAAAAAAGAACGTAAATTCGCTTTGAAACAAGGAAGGAGAAAGAA